CTTAACGCCTCTATAAGCTCCATCGCTGAAAGTTATTACATGACATGATTATGATTATGAATATGCTGCCTGGTGCCTGAGGCCAGTTGCAAGCCATGACTTTTACAGCTAGGCCTTCAATTTGGACCATAAATTTCAAAAAGCAAATGCTAATTTCTGCTAGCGGCCCTACGGGATTCTAGTAGTATGTTAGCACTAAGCTTAGAGCCATTCACATGAGCCATTCTTTGGAGGTTCTAGATTAAACACGGACATGTTCATCTTTTAAAAGACACTCCATGTTTTATTTGAAGCTTGTAACATACGTATGAACATTTTACCTAACAGTGATCCTGTAACAGTGAGTTAGACTACTGACAGTCAGTGACGTATCTAAAAATTCCAGGAGGCCTAAAATTGGTCCCACCCATTGGGAATCAAAACATGATTGGTTGATTCCTCCATCACTTCTTAAACATGCTGATGGTTAATCTAATGTGTAAGGCCTTCAGTTCAGCTCCCGAAGTCCTAACCAATGGGAAGCTGTATCTATATAGATCCCACAATCCTGATTGGATAATTTTTCATTGCGTGTTTAAATAATTTAATAATTTTGTTTCCAAGCAAAACTTAAAAATGTAATAAGCGTACACTTCTTGTGGAGTTTAACTACAACAAAGATGCATAAAAATGACAGAAATGTATTTTTTTTTAGCTTCCATAAATCATTAAGCTTTCTCTAAGGGCCCAGAGGATTCCCTGCTGCCTGAGACATTGTTATACAACAGTTTTGAGAAAGATTTGGTCCAAAAATTATGCATTTATTTATTTAATTTTCTTTTTTATTAATGGTGGACAGGTACATGTAGGTGCTGGAAGTCAAAATAGTAGAATAGCAGATTTAACACTATTTTACCATCATCAGCACTACTTATAAAACCTCAGAAGACACATGCAAGTTTACTAGTGGTTGTGGATAGTAAATAAAATGGATGCTGAATATTTGTGTCGTAGATATTGTGACACCTGGTTCCTATCACCACCACTGTAAAGACATCTGAGTTTGCAAGTATCTCTACATAAAAATAATCATATCAAACCACTCTGAATGAGTTTGTTTACATCTTAGTCATAGAATTATGAAGAAATTTAGGAAAACTAGTGGAATGTCCCATGGTGGACACACCATAAAACAGTTCTTCTTACATTTTGTTGAACTATTTCTCACTCATAGCTCATTGAGATTCAATTCAAAATGTTCAATCCATACATCTGTGCTCATAAGTAGAAAAGAAGATATTTTATCATGACTTGAACATCACCCTTTTCATTTTGCCATTGTCTATGCTGTTGCTTGACATCAAAACAGACAAAAAAAGTTGGAGGTGTAGACACAGACCTGTCAATACTGAATGTAAATTGTGCATGTATTTCACTACATAACTAACAATGTAATGATTTTTTTAAATAATTATGCAAAATAAATCACCTGTGTTACTTCTAAACCTGTAGGGGTTAACTAAGACTACTGATACTGAATGACGCTGAAGCAGCTAATGGGTCAAATTAAGAGCAGAGATATGCCCTTTAACTGACTTACAAGCCTTCAGTCTGGTTAACACCTGTTTGTCCTTCACTATTTCAGCTCTGGAGCAGAGAAAAAGCTCACAAATCAGGGCACAATACAGGGGATCATGGGACATTTGACTTTATTTTATAATATAGCTCAACAGTGAGCTTACATTTACGGCATTTAGCAGACACTCTCATCCAGGGCGACTTACACAAGTGTTGTCCACTCAGAATGTATCCTAGCTAATACAAACAGGTTAGACTCCAAACTACCCTTGGGCTCAGACACTGCTAGAAACAAAAGGCAGTGCTGATACCTAGAAAGAATTATACGTACATGCAATACATTTCAATAAGTACTTGGCTCATTTAAGTGCTGTACAAAGAGATGCTGTCTACATTTGAAGACAGCGAGAGACTCTGCTGTTCGGACAGCCAGCGGGAGTTCGGTCCACCACCTGGGTGCCAGGACAGACGAGAGTCTTGATGCTTGTCATCCACCCGTCTTGAAGTATGGCAGGTCAAGCCGTGCTGTACTTGGAGCTCAAAGGGCTCGAGGTACAGTCTGAGTTTTGACCATTGCCGTTAGGTAGGGAGGGGCTGGTCCATTTTTGGCTTCATAGGCAAGCATCAGGGTTTTACTTCTGAAGCAGGCAGCTACAGGAAGCAAGTGAAGGCAGCACAGCAGTGGAGTGACATGTGTGAAGATGGAAGACAAGCAGTGCTGCTGCGTTCTGGATCAGCTGCAAGGAACTGATGGAATTTCGGACATTCCTTTGAGAAAAAGCTTGGCACTATCAAAGTGCCACTGCATGGTCCAGTTTCAAAAATAGCCAAAACAAAGCATAGAAGGCCTGTTTTAAAAGCCTAACCAGCACCTGGGGCTGCAAATTAGCTTCGTGTAAAAGCCCTACGTACAGTCGAATGCAAAAGTTCAAACACCCCTGAGTCAATTTACATGTTTTGTTGATTTTCTAAGTGAGAATAAGTTAATGGATCCTCTACCGAGCTATTTTCTGCCAATGCTAGTGCACATTTGTTGTATTTGCTGAGCTGAACACATGGGGAAAAAATAACGTTTGCACAGGCCACATTTTGTGTTTTACCTTCTCATCTTTGTGTAAATAAATAAATACATACATATACACTCACATACAGACCTCTAGTGGGTTAAATTTACAAACGCCTGACCTCAGATTTAGACGTGAGCGACAGAGTGCGCCACCCACGGCCGGCCTGCTTCACCCACACACCCGCGACTGAGCCTCGCACGGACGAGAGATCCCCCCGCTCTTCAATTTGTCCTCCCAAGGATTGTCTTTTATTGATGACTTTCTAGGTCAGCGACCCTCCGTGCTTTTCAAAGGATCTAAGAGGCACCCAGATGGGCCCGCTCAAGAAGGAGCCTATTGTCGTAGACTTTCTATAGTGTCTTACAAATGAAATGCGCAGGAGCCATTAGCCCTCAGTGGATTGTTTTATGGGCTGGGTGCCTCTCTCATGGGGGGTAATGATGACAGTGCAGGCCACAGATCAGTCATTTCAACAATTGTGGCGAAAGCCCTTTCTTAAGACAAGAGGCTTTTGCTCTCTCCTCTCCCATTGCTTTTCATTGGGAATAAACTCCTGGCTGGCTGTACAATGGAGAGCCAAGATGTTGCAACTTTTGTGAGCTGCAGTGAAAGTGCAAACAGTCTGGTGCTCCGCCTCGCGACTGTGGGTGCGCACCGCGATTTCGAGCGATTTTCAAGCTCAAAGTGAATCATTTACCAAAGCATGAAGTGCAGATAGACTTTACGATACAGCAAATGTGAGGAACATTGTCTTTAATTGGTGACTCTCTAGGTCAGCGACCTTTTCTAGGTCAGGCACCCATATGGGACATTTAAAAAAGGAGTCTATTTCAGTGGACCACACCTTATTCGAGCAATCTGCCTTGCTTAAAGTGGCACAATTTTTGTTGGGCAGGTGAAGCCTGTCCTGTGTTTCCTTTAGGGAGTGGAAAGGCAGGTGTCAGCTTTCCCCTCGTTCACCCCGAGCACTGTGCAAACTCCCAGACTGTAGCCCGCGTGAACTCAGCAGATAAGCTTCAGCTAACACTGACATCACCTTATTGAATTAGGCTGTTTGTGTGGCAGCCACCAGGGAAGCCACCTCCACCTCTGCTTCTCACCTGTTAACAGGTGGGAGGGAAGTCGAAGCCACCTCAGAGGAAATTAGCAGGCAACTTTGTTTGGATGCCAGCTGGGCGTACTATAAACGAGAGCTTTTGATGTGAATTGTTTGACAGGCCTTTGTTAGAAAGAAACGCAAAGGTAATATCAGTGCAAACCAGGTAGGGAGATTGTCTGCAACAGTGAAAACAGAGTGTTAATTAGAAATAAAAACCTTTTAGAACATTCAGATGACTTGCATTAACGTCTGAATACAATGTAATTTTGTAAACATGCATGTAAAATTGTTACTAATATGTATTCTGAATATATGAAAATGGCTGTATAATATAGTTTTTGCTTCCACAACATGTTTTCAAGAGAAAACAGAAACGTAGACAACTTTCTCTAGAACTGAGAAGGAATTCCACTGATTTTGCACATTTATTTTTCACTGCATAATAAAAATGTTAAGATGTAAACATAGTTATTCAGAGCGGTTTGGTGTGAAATGCTTTGCTGCAGAAAAACGTATTGAGTTCACAGTGGAGCTGAGGAACCAGATATCTGTTTAATGTCTCTAAAAGCAACATAAGCTACGCTTCCATCCAAAGGATTTTTTACGGAAAAATGTTTTAAGGCTTCACGATGTTTCACTGTTGCTGGAACAGAACCTTGTATCTCCAAAATGCTAACTTTACAGGAGAAGGAAAAAACCTACTTTACTTTTAATGCAGGTCAATGGAACCAGAATTTTTTCTAGGTCATTCTGGGCCGTTTCTTTTGGTCCATTCATCATGAAATTTATATACAATGTAAAGGACTGTAGGTATTTTCAAATTATGTCAAAAACTCAAAAACACCAAAAAATGAAGATATGAGGTTTTGTCCCGACAGCAGCAATTTGCTGAAGTAGGCTATGGAAATGTAAATTGTCAGTAATATTTTTTTAAAAATATGGATGTCAGCAAAACTTTTTTTCCCCATTTAATTTTTTTGTAAATAGTTGGTAAAAAATGTCTTTTGTGTGATGGTTCTGATGGAAAAATAACTATAATTAAAAAGTAATAAAATAAAATGAATAAAATCCGTAGATTATGGAAACATGAGGGAAGCCAGTGATACATAAGTTCTAACATACATAAAATTAGAGTTGGAAACATGTCAAATACAACTTTTAAACAGGAAATTACATCATTATGTAAGGCATTTTTTTATCCCTAAAAGTCAGTTTGATGGAAAAAAGATGTTGGATAGTAAAAATCACAATTTTATTTCATTTTTTTTTATCACTTGCAATTTGCCCAGAAAGTCAATGGAAACTTGACAGTTTTGAGATAAAGATTTGGCCATTTTTTTTAAAGCCTTTTATTCATTGTGGTCTAAGGCAAAATAGTTCCCAAAGGAACTCCCCCCTCCATATTTGCCACTATTTAAGAATCACAAGCATTACACATAGAAAAAACGTGTAGGTTCATTGGTGGTTTTTTGTAAACAAAATGGCTTCATTGTGTTTTACAGACAACACAACCCCTGACTCCTATCACCACCACCGTAAAAAACAATCAGGAAGTTTCTCTACGATGAACCATTTCTCTTCATACCGCTCCACATCGTAATAACTGAATTATACTTGCTTTGAAAAACTAGTGGAGCTCTTCTTCAATGAAGGACGATCAATGTATATTGATACTCTTTATGGCAAAACACTGCACATTACACCACGATTCACTAGATATGCTAATCCAGAAGAACTAGCAGTCTTGAGTTACTAAATAAACACAGGTTTTTCTGGCCTTGTCAAAGCTCAGATCTCACATTACGCTGCTCATTGTAACTCATAAACAAATGACCAATCAAAACTGCAATGATCTCCCCTAATAATCAAAAACATCCCAATTTAAAGATGCCACCCGGCACTGATAACACAGATCAGTGTTTCTAAATCACCGTCTTCATCCCATTTGCGGAGCTGTCGCTTGATTATCATATGTAATTTGTGAGTTGGGGCTGAGGGACTGGGGGACTCCTCTAATCCTCTTTGGCTGGCAGCTGCCTGGACCTCTCCTCCCATGTTTTGCTAATTTGAGTCTGTGATGTGGTACGCTTGTTTAGCGCTGATTGCTATCAGCAGCTCAAACGCTGGGGGAAATGGAACCAGGGAGACTGGTACGCTGATCTAAGGCCCTATCTCACCATATTTGCATAAGAGGCAGGGGGCTTTGATATAGAATGAGCAGGTGACACACATTTTGTGATCGCAGGCCACGACCCTCATCGAGTGGGTGCATGGAAGGGGGTGTCGATCGACACCGATAAAAGATATTATGTTTATTAAGCAGCAGGATTAGCAGGCTGGGGAAATCCTTTAGGGAGGGATGTATGTCACATATGGCGATACTGACCCTTTTTGGTAGATATCAAGAAGTTAATGCCTCAGATGAATAAGATTGTAGCTTAGCAGTGAAGCCTGCTTTATCCGAAACAATTTCCCCAGCTGGATCAGGTGGGCTTTCCAAATCTCATGGTATCTTTTAGCACCAGGTCCACCTGCCCTCCTCCTTAAACTCCAAGAGGGTCCAAAAGACATGTTAACACAGCAAACAATAACCTTCTCCCTGCACAACACTAAAGCCGTTGTTAGCAAATGGAGAAGTTTGTGCTTGATCGCTACTGAGAAGGCCATTGTTTAACACTAGTAGGTGTGTTTTCAATTCAGGACCCCCTGCTTCTGTGCTTTTACAGCTCCCCCCAGCTTCCCACAGTGTCTGAGTGGCCAGCACACTCACACTGTACTCGCTCAGTCATTTAGGACAGCCTGAGCTCCGTGTCCTGCCCCTGTTTATCGATCTCATCCCACTGACTGACTCCGCAATTTCCCCACACACGGCAGTGGGCCTCGAACTTCTGCTAAGCATCCCTGCCCTTGGTCTTTTCCCCTAGGATGCCAATGCGATGCAGAGAGAAGTCCATGTCTTGTCCGAGCATTATATCAGAATACGGAGCTGAGATGGGGAGTGGATAATGGGATTCTTGAGTGAAAGGCAGGCATCACAGTTGGATGACGGTATCCGAGGTATTCCAAGAACAAAAAACATTTCCATCAGCCTTTCAGATCAACTATCACTCTAGCTCCTTTTGTAAGTCCTCTAGTCAGTAATTCCTGCTCCACAAATGTAGATGCTGGCATGTTTCTTAGTGGCATTCCTTTAAAAAGACAGTGGCACTGATGGGACTTTTGTTTGCTAGCAAATTCAAGCATCCCAACACTTCTACCGTTCAAACCTCAAAAGCAAAAGGGATTTCTTTGAAAGCTTCCTTGCATTTGAAAGATCAGTCAGCGGGACTCATCTAGCATCTGCACTCTATTTGTGATCAGTAGATTCACAATAGCATGTAGCAAAATCCCGGTAGACACAATCAGGCCAATGGGATTTAACCCCTCATATGTGGAACCCTGCATGGAGTAATGGAGGTGCAGCGAGTGATAGCGCCTCGGCTGCGAATGACCAGCTTGTTCGTGATCTGAATCCTGCTTGATTTCCAGCAGCCCCTCTTAGGACCCCCGCCCTCACTGTGAGCCGTACCACCCGTCACTGATCTGGCGACAGAGAGGCAGCCTGCCACATATGGATCCTCCCTTGATATCATTCAGCCAGCGTGTAATCTTATTATGCAAAGTCTTAATCCGCACCTATGTCCCAATGCCCCAAGGATCGCAATATTGTGATATCAAGGTGCTGGAGGTCATGTCGTGTGATCCCGGCTCTATCCTTTTGAAGAGATGGGGGACTCAGAGGCTGGCTCCCAGGAGTCCAGTAAACTGGATAGAGAGATAGATATATAGACAAAGGGAGAGGGAGGGGGAGAGAGAAATGGGATATATATATCTCGCTGCTGTCGGACAAAAACCTCGAATGTTCATTTTTGTCATTTTTCAGTTTTTGACATAATTTGAAAAAACCTTTTTCTCTTTACATTGTGTATAAATTCATGCAGAATGGAACAGAAGGAACGGCTCAAAATGACTTATATGACGTATATATCAAATGACTTGTATACTATATATATATGTGTACACATACGTGTCAGTGCGACAGTAAGGAAACAAATCTCTGAAATGGTAATTTTACAGGAGAAGGAAAAACAATTCTTTTTTAATGTAATTTTAAGGTAAGCTGATGTAATAAGATTATATCAGCTGATGGTCTGTTTTGTTTTGTGCTTTATTGGTCCTACAAGGGAAATCTGTTATTTTGCTGCCTAACTACGCCCAATCTTGGAGCAGCACAGTATCGCCAGAGGAGCAGCACCACCTGGGGCAGTAGGGGTTTAAGTGCCTCACCTAAGGGCACAACCAGGTACTCCTGGCATTTGAACCCACAACACTGCAATGTTGGGTAATATCTGCACTGTATGTGTGTGTGTGTATATACATATTTCACAATGAATGGACCAAAAGAAACAGCCGAAAATGACTTGGAAAAAATTATCATTTTATCATTTTGGAGATTTGTTTTGTTCCAACAAATATGTATATATATATATATATATATATATATATATATATATATATATATATATATATATATATATAAACAGTCACTGAATAATGAACACATGAACATACATAAATCACAAAACAAACATTTACTGTCCAGATAAATAGCTATATAATTGGAAATTTCCCTGAAAAACAACAAAAAATCTCTCTCCCTCTCCCTATATATATATATATATAATTTTTTGGGGAGGTAAGGATGAGATTGAGGTCTCCAGCTAGGATTAGACTTGGTTTGAAGCAGTGGGATTTTTCCAGCAGATACATTATTGGACGGGGGAATAAGAGGCCACCAGCGTGGTGAAATTGGATCAGGATTGGCATTCGCTGTGAGTCAGCGGCGGCAGCTAAAACAGCAGCTGCCCTGCCGATTTCTCTCTCCTTTCAGGTGGAGCCACCTCCAGTGACTTGGAAAGAGAGAGGATGGGAAGAGAGGGAGGGGTGGGGATAGGGGTGAGAGAGAGAGAGAGAGAGAGAGAGAGAGGTGGGGGTGATAATTTTGAGGTCTGTGAGGTTTAGCAGCAGTGTAATGAGATTAAGTGTAACACCTTTGCGAGTGAAAAAAAGCCACCTGGTGCTGTAACGGGCGGAGAGAGAGGGCACTAATCCGTTCCCATCTCTGGGACGTCATTCAGAAAGGCCGCCAGTGATTTCCGCTCTGCTTGCCTCTAGTTAATTCCATCACCAGGAGAGACGAGAGAGAGAGAGAGATGGAGGAAAAAAGGGAAGAGCTTATTATCCATAACTAAAGCTCTAAAAACATGCAGACAAGACGTCATTCTGGAGTTCAAAGGGGAGATGGCTTTTTACACCACACATTTTCAGCCTGATTCCTCTAAAGCTGTCTCACGAGGACTTTCTCGGGAATGATAGCAAACCTAAACATTGCAATCACGATAACACATCAGTGCTAGCGACGGCATCAGCCACTTGCTGTGATTAAATATCCCTATAAACTTTGAAATGTGACAATCATAAGATGACATGATTTTTCAGTACTTTATAGAGTTTGCAGAAGATCCTCTTATACATGTGTTGACAACTATTGTGAAGTAGAAGCTGGCATGAGACAAGTTCCATCCTCAAAATGGTTCATAGAAACTCCAGCTTGAGGGGGAATTCTACCCATTTAAAAAAAAAAATTCTGGATAATAAAATCATCAAGATGTAAACAAAGTAATTTTCGTGTGGTTTGATGTAAAATTCTCAGTTCTAGAGAACAGAGTCCTAATTTTTGATAGTGAACCAGAGTAAAAGCTCCCTCACATTAAGTTGTTACATAAAATGGTTATGAATATGCTGACTGATGTCTGTGACATCGTTTTATAATACATAAACAAACTCGGAAGACGTGTAGGTTCACTGGTGGGTTTGGATAGGAAATAAAATGTGTATATCTGTGTTGTAGATGCGACCTCTGGTTCCTGAGCCACCACTGTAAAGACATCGGAGTCTGTAGGTTTCTCTGCAATGAACCATTTCACATCGAACCACTCAGGATGACTTTGTTTACATCCTAACGATGAAATTACACAGAAATTTAGAAAAAAATTGTGGAATTCCCCTCAGTCTGGCCATGTTATGTCCTCAGTTGGCCCTGGAACTAATCACAAATGCACTGTAGCTGGTCAGCTTAGAGTGCTATATAAGATGGAGAAACAATTTCTGGTCAGTTGCAAGAACTCACTTCCACCAGAACTAGATTTGGCAAAGAAAGCCATGATAATAAGTACAAAAATCAACTGTACAGACTTTCTAAAAGTCCATTATTAGCGCAAACTGATTCTAGAGCATTTGTGCAATGTGGCTCCCTTTATAACTACAAACTACGCCAGTAAACCGGTCTTTGAGACAGAATTATGGAATATATCTTAACCATGTGATGAGTTTTGCATTGACAAGAGCTTCAACAATTCGCAAACTGTTTCAGCAACTAGGCACAGTAACTAGTTCACTGCTGCCACTGGACATTAGGCCAACAGTAGCCTTCAATTCCAAGTGATACAATATCGCCTAGATCCACTGACCCACCACTGTGAAATCAGCCCTCTTTCTTGAGGGATGTCAGTAATGTTTTCTAGCAAATTGCAGCTACACTGGGAGTGAGGTGGGGATAAAAACAGGGATCGAAAACTTTAAACAAAGTTGCAGTGTTTGTTTTATTGAGTTGAATTAATCTGACATGCTTCAGTTCGGGTAGACTCAAACGTATCCATTAATATTAATTATCATTTTGAAATTTAGTAAAACAGATGTCCTTGCTATGTCACCAAACATTTAGCAGGCTAGCTAACACTGCTTGCTGCAGTGGTGTTTTTGAGGGATGGATTATTCAGACTTGTAGTAGAGCGGAGATATAAGCTACGAAGTTCATTCAAGACCAGAACTGGGAACTACGCTGTGTCTGCATCACATTGGTGCTACTTGCAAAGCTTTTCTGAGTTAGCAATGTGGTCTTTTATGCTTTGTGACTGACAATGAAAAGGCCGCACGGTCGCAGCATTAAAAGCTTCAGAGCTATTTTTCTGCTGCTTTTTTTTTGCTAGTAGAAATGCAAACTACTCCTGTTTGTCACTCACTTACAAAACATAACTTTCAGCCGTGCTGACCACATTGCTTTTGGTGTAACCGAGCTTGCTTTAGCCTAATTTGTGCAGGGTGCAGTGGGCTAACCGCAGTTAAAGTAGTATTCCTGATGCAAACGCATAGGCATATTCATTTTTGAGTTTTGCACATATGCCATCCCAGCACCCCAGCAGTGCTATCACATCACAAACTGTTGAAAACTGTCCACTGCGACAAGCCATTCGGGCACAATTTGTGCATCCATCAGTTCTCTGTGAAGCAGCAAGTGATGGTTATGCTACAGAGATTGCAGAGCTTGCTAGCCTGACAACATGGATCAAAACAAATTCAAAGAAGAGATAATATCCAAATAATTCTTAATGAAATGCATTAATGTTTTCATACTGAAGAGAGCTGAATGGGTCACGTCCAAATACTAAACAAACCAGTGTATTCATATTATTTTTATACTCTAAGGGTGCCTTCAGACAGCAGAGCGTATTCTACAAATAAATCCACGGCTGAACTGCAAGGAAAACTGTGACAAAACAGAGAAGGAGCGGAAATTATTGTGCTTCTTTTTGGAAGAGAAAGACAGGGAGAAAAAGTCCAGCAAGCTTCATTCTTGTAAACATTAGCAGTGTTAGCAAGGGCTTTGAACACCCCAACACTATATTTCTAGATTAAAATAAGTTGTTCACCATCGACTATTGTCAATTAATGAGTATCTTCGTCTAATGTGCCCTCCACATCCTGATGAGTGGAGCTTATCGGCTAAAAGCTGCACTTTGTACGATTTTTTTTATGTACGAGTGATTGAAGCAGCATTACTGAGTCATGAAAAACAAAAACAGGCCAAAATATGGTGAGCGTGAGCTGCTGCGAGTCACCCTGTAAAGCATGAAATAATCATTTAAAGTCAGAGGTGTCTGATTGGACCACGTCACACGCACAGGCTCATAAAGAAGGTCTGGCTCGATGTTTAGGTCTCAAATGCAAAATCAACATTATACTGATGAAGATATGAGGACAGTAGTAGACAATTCACTCACATCCTCAGAAGACTTGTCCTTCTCCAAGTTTTGACTGAGTTCTCATTGAATACACTTTCAACGCACTTACAATCATTAGATTCGTCCACTCAGGGAAGGGGTCTGAAGCACAACCCACGTTACAAAACGTTCTTCCACACATTGTGTGCAATTTCACATTTCCACCAGAGAGGTCTCCAAATCTCCAAAACTTACACAGTGCAGCTTTAATTTTGAACATTTTTCAATCCAATCCGCGAGGATGAGCGGCAAAAGACCTGCCAACAACAGAGAAAAAAAATGCATCCTGCTGGTATGTTATTATGTTTGTTAATGTAAAAACCAGTAACATTGTGCAAAAGTGGACTTCAAAACATAAGGACTTTCTGATGAGTCTTATCTCACTTCACAGCATCTTTGGTGGATCTGCATTTGGATCCTGGCATGAAAATGTGAACCCCTGATCCAGTCAGTGAAAATTTGAGCTTTATGCTGAGAAACAAATGATGGGAGCCATTCTGACCATTTACATACCACTAAACTCAGTTCCAAAGTAATTTGCTCTAGTATCCAGACATTCTCGCAGAACTCAATGCATCTGGTACCAGGACTAGTGAAAAAAATCTGACGGCTAGATAACAGCAGAGGGCAGTGTGTTTCTGGAAC